CGAGGGTTACCGCTATGAAGTGGGCGGAGCACAATGAGATTAGACTGCCGCTCACACGCGCCATTTGTTCGTATTTACTTGTCTTGGCTTTGTTTTTCGTTTTGATTTTTTATTTTTTGTGTATTTTGTTCATTTTTGTTTTGTATTTGTTTTGTTTTGTTTTGTTTTGTTTTCTTCCGCTGTTTGTTTGCGCCCCGTGCGCTGGGTTGTGGTTGCGGCGGCCGCTATTTTCTCTGCGGTGGGCCACGCTGCTTTTTTGTATTTTTTTTTCTTTTTGTGCAGTGATCGGTGAGTGCCGGCGAAGGTGGAGGAAGGCGCCTCAGTGCAGGCAGTCGGATGCCGCGGAGTTCTGCCCGGACGAACTGCTGCGCCGCAGGGTGGGCCCCGCCGTGACCCACCGCTTGGATGTACGGCTTGTTTTTGGTTTTGGGGTGCTCCAACGCCGTTGCGGCAGTCGGCGGTGACAACCCGATTGTGGAGGCGCGGTGGCCGTCGATTTCGGGCCGCGGCGTGCGCGGGTGGCGGTGCCCCGCAAATGCCAGGGGCGCTGGGGTGCGCTGCGGCCGCGACGCCTCCTTCCTGGGTTTTTGCGCGAGGAGTTCCGCAGCGGAGGTGTTGGGCCCCTCACGGTTGCCATCGCCACAAACTCTCTTCGGTGCCCGTCACAGCCGTAGGGATGCGCCCTCCGTGGGGGCCGCCGCGGACGAGAAGAGGCGCGCTCTCTTCGGCACGGAGGGCTCGTCCTCGCTGAGCCGCTCTTCTGTGGGCGGCACAATTTCTATGGCATGTTTCTCAATTTTGTTGGCTACCACGCTGCGAAAGGGCTGTGGCACGAGCAGCGCCCATGCCGTTTGTTTGCTTTTGGCAGCAGGTCACCGCTTACTTCGGTGGGCCGCGATTCCGCTGTGTGTGCATGGGGGCGGAAGTGAGATGCCCTGCGCGGGTTCTGCCCTGCCCCGTTTGAAGGCCGTGCGGGGCATTAGGCTGTGGCATTGGGGCGCCTCTCCGGCGTCTTGCTCTGCACTTGACCCCGTGCAACTCAAGGCGTGCGCGATCGTTGCGGCATTTCCATGGGGCCTGTTCCTGCCGGCGCGGGGTCGAGGCCGCGCAGCTACGGGGCGGCGAGCACAGCTCGGCACACCTCGGCGTCGAGGAGCCATGCAGCGCCACCCCGCCAACGCATTTTGCGCCGCGTGGGGTCTGAATAGTTGCGGATGCCCTCTGCCTCCTCACCGGCCTGCGCACAGGTTTTCTCGCAGTGCTCGCCCCGGCGCTGGGCCGTGTTGCTAAGTTTGCGGCGGCGAGGAAGGCCGCGACCGTGCAGAGCCCGCGGATCCACAGGGTACCGGCGCAGCCACGTAGGCCCGACGCCCCGTCCGGGCGCGTCGGCCCAGGCCAGCCGCCCACCGCCCCACCACAACGGTCGAATGAGCGGCCGCGCGCGTGGGTTCCACCCGTCTCGCACGAGGGGAAGAAGCCGCATTGGCTCTTTTGTGAGCGGGGGTTTCGCGTGGGTGCGGGCGGCTGCGACGCGCTCTTTGGCTTGCCACCGCGACGCGACGCACCGGTGGGGTGCTCGGAGCCACCGCCTTCGGTGCGGACCCGAGCCGGAGACCGCACGCCGGCCGGCTGCTGCGCCTTCCCAACCAAAGGCGTTCCCCGGCGGCTTCTTGTTGGGTGCTGTGGGTGCAGGGTTTTGGCGAGGAAAGGGCCTTTGCTTGCGTACGAGCACACTGCGGGGCGAAGGAAGAAGCGCGGGGCCCGAGGCG